CTTATAAAAGAAAATGCTTCACTGTACAACTCACAAATTAACAAGTCGATCAGAAAAGGGGTTATTAAAGCGTTATGGTTCGTCTTTGTGGCGGTAGCAGTAACATTCCGAGAATGAGGACTGTAACGTTTAGTCGATAAACACAGCCTTCAAGTAAATACACTACTCAAAATATAATAAAGAACACCGGACTTTATATGACCATAGTGAATCTATCATGGTCATTATATATCAGCTCCCTTCAAATGAAAACTTGGGTCTTCTTTAACTTTTTGTGAGCAGTATATTAGGTTTGAGAATGTAATGTCCTAGCATCCGAAATTCATCAATGGCCGATGGTGAATGCAAGTCCGTAATGGCTACATGGAGAATATTCCCCAATGCTACTAAATCAGCGGACTAAGGCTTCGTCTCTGAATACATAATTTTGATTGTAACAAATAAACAAATTTAAATTGAAAAGGAGCCCCAGGGAGACCAGAGGTTCAGGGGCAATCTGGACTTGCTTCATTTAGGGATTTAGCATTGCAGGAAGGGCTAGGTTGTAGGGGAAATAATATGGAGCAGGGACTGTGAGACAGGCTACTAAATAAGAGACGTCTCGAAGGGACAAGATCGAAATTCGTGTGAGCTGGTTTCAGCTTGCGAGTGGATGAAATCCCGAAGTAATGCAGATCTACGATGTTTACCACTCTGTAGAAACCAAAGAAAGACCACAGATATGATGGCGACAAACCAGACAACATGATGAACAATCAAATATCTCTAAGGTCTCGGGCATGCCAAAGGGACGCAACTCTGCACACCGAATCTCCGTGTCTCCTGTGACTATGCCACTCCTTCCCCCTCGAAATATGAAATCGAAAATTCCAAACACGTCTGTCCATCCTAAAAGACGCTATATATTTCTCACAAGTTCTCACAGTAACCAAACAATCCCATTACTCAGCGATACCAAAAACCCAATCACTTGGGTATATGTACATTTACAATATAAAAATGTACAAACATTCCACTTAAACCACGCTATAGACGCGATCAGAGGACCGCGTCAATAGATCCACCTTGTCCAGTTGTTCCGTGGGCGTTATTTCCGCCACTTGACGGCCGGGATCTAAGTGGCCCCTGTTGGGAGCGTCCCCTTCTGCCTGGGACAGCGCCGCAGTGATCCCCAGCGGGCAAACACGGGGCTTATGGCGCAAACTGGGCCAGATTAGGTCCTGGATCGTGTCAGATACTGCTACCATGGCACAGGAAGGATTGTAGAGAATTTCAAACCTAGTTCTCTAAAGCAATCTAATAGTGAGCCAGCATCTATCATATAAAAAGGAGCTATTCACCCTGTAGCTTCTCTTCCTGTGACACCGCATGATTTCTGCTATGGTAGAGGAAGTATTTTAGAGAACCTCATTCATTAGTTCAAAGAAACAGTGTCCACGAGGTAGCAGCTATCATTTAAAGGGGTTATTCTCCCAGTTGCTTCCCTTCCTGTCTTAAATGTGAGACTGTATGGTTTCTACAATGGAAGAGGGAGTGTTTCAGAAAACGTCAAATCATTAGTTCTAAGAAACAGTGTTCTCGAAGTAGCAGCTACCATTTAAAGGTTCTGTTTTGAAAGATGTTGTTCATTCTGTATCGTCCCTTCTTTTTGCGTGAGCAGTTAGGTTCAGTGACCCACGTTTCAGGTTGGATATTCACAGTTTATCAGTTCTCCAATAAATGTCTGTGTAGTTACGGCAACTTTGTTTGAAAATCAACCTTACCCTATAACAGAGTAAGCAGAGGAGTTACCCCAATGACCTGTTTAAGTCAATACCTTTGTCAAAGGCTAGTCTCGTTAGAGATTCAGTATTAACTTCCTGTAATATCTGTAGTTGCGGGGGACGATTTATTGGTGAATTTAGTCCAACCCATAAGCATGAGTAAACTATGACCTATCATTGTGAGTGAGTTGTGTTTTTACGCCACTTTTAGCAACAAGCAATATGACGTCGTGGGTACCGGAAATGGGCTTCAAGCGTTGCATCAAAGTGAGGAATCGAACCCATGACTTCGGCGTGATGAACCAACGCTTCAACCACCAGCCTACCCCATGCGCCAGTTTCATACTTAGGACAACAGACATTTGTAGGGATCGTATTTGCGAGTTATCTTTCTCTAACAGTCCAGTGAATAACTTCTCGTAAAACCTGAGACAAACCGAAAAAGACCTCGTCGGTCCTTAGGATTAGAGACTACCACATAAGATGCATAGGCCGTATTCCACAAAGCGATCTTAATGTTAAGACTCCCATAGTTTAACTCAGACTTACGGCATCCATAGCGCTAAGATCGTTTTGAGTGAGGGCCCTTGATTGAGTAGAACGTCTCCTCGTCATTACAAGGTATCTGAGGGTAATGCGCGGCCGCTGCGAGGATGCCCTGCACACGGAGGTAAGTCAAGGCTAATGAAGCAATTACTGTCACCTAACTATTTTGCTGTACGACGGATAGGAATGGGGAATGATGATATAATGTTCTACCAGAAGGATATGTCATGTTGGCTTGGCCTGCGTATTGTCAGAAGTACTAATGCAAAAACGGTTTGAGATCAACACATATATCTCCCACTTTGCCGAAATATCCCAGGGATGCTTGTCCGCAGCTGAAAGGATGTAGTGGCAACAATGTTTCTATACAGGTGGAAATATTTAGATTTGGTTGCCTACACTCATGCAAATCCATTCCGCTAATGCACTTATTACCTTTTTGATGTAAAGAAACAAACATCGCCTAATAGCTGTAGAAATTAGAAGTCCAATGTCAATGGGTCAGCTGTGGCGGGTTCTCTTGCCCTGAATTAAGCTCAAACATTAAGTTCATTTTGCTAACACAGTCATGTTGCCATGTGTACAAATAACAAAGACGACATAACACCCCCTTGTCACACCCCGACATGCCCTTACGATCTCCACGACGGTCTTTCCCCATACTCCCAGACGTCGTGTTGGCTCTACATGTTAGCGCGTTTACCTTCACACATGTAATAGAAAGTTGTCACCCAAGTATGATCTAATTGGGTAAATGCACAACTTGTAATGGAAAGCGAAGCGGAATAGGAGTTCAGGTTCAAAAAGCGCGTTTCTTATACAGGTGATTCACAATTGAAAACTTCCAAACACGCTTGTCAATTTTAAAATACACATTTTTTTTCCCCGTTTTGACCAACCATGTTTTGTGAACAAAGTCAATGTTAGAAGAATGCAGAAGTACACACAAGTTGGGAGGAAAGCTCCTGCCTTCGTGAAATCTTAGTTATTTTCTCTTTGGTAGATTGAGTTTACATACAAATCGTAACACTTTATGGTGGAGGTAAGTGTTGCCATCTTCACTTGATAATTATGTGTCGTCACACTATCAGTATGAGTAACATCATAGCTATGCACCTTATACAAATACGGCCTTAGCTCGTGATACATGCAACAACTCTTCAGTATGAGACGGGTCTAGAAAACTCAAATTACAATAATTATTTATCATCCCTTACAATTTACATTATATTCACGGGAGAGTTTATGGACTTTTAAATCGTACGATTACGAGTTATTGCCTAGCAAAACAAGTTTCGAACATGTAGATGAAAGCGAGAATATGAAAGCCGGGTACGAACAAACTCCGACATATTTGGGAGACGTTGCGGATCACGTGACCTGTCTACGCGCATTGTTTCGGCTAACTCAGAAATGCAGCCTTGAGTCGCGCCCAAATCGGCACACTTTGCAAATCTCCACCTCAAATTGAAGTTAATGCCGGCGTTATCCTAACTAATCTTTATGAATACTCTCGCCAACAATGGTAGCAGCCATACCACTGTGCATACGCATCTTCTGCCCGTGGAACAAGATGGCGGCCTCCTGCCAAGGAGTGAGCAAAGAGACAGCGCGTAAACGCAACGTGCATTCGCTTCGTAATTTTTGTAAGTTAACACAACGTATAGGATATGAAGAGGAGCAGGTGAAATAAACCATAATGATCCACTAGTGCAAACAAACAGTTATGCTTCATTTGGATCACGGCCATCCAAAGCTCATTCATAAGAATGATGCAAACAGTACGTTTATAGAATATGTACAACCCAATAAAGATAAGGAGTGAGTGAGTTAAGTTTTACGCCGCACTCAGCAATATTCCAGCTATATGGCGGCAGTCTGTAAATAATCGAGTCTGGACCAGACAATCCAGTGATCAACAGCATGAGCATCGATCTGTGCAATTGGGAACCGATGACATGTGTCAACCAAGCCAGCGAGCCTGACCACCCGATCCCGTTAGTCGCCTCTTACAACAAGCATGGGTTACTGAAGGTTCATTCTAACCCGGATCTTCACGGGTGAATAAAGATAAGGAACATCCGACCCTTCCATATCAATATAGTTAATGACTTAATATGTTATGGCATAGTAACTGTAATGTGAAAGAATGATACTCCTAATGAGTAGCTGACACCCAAGCAAACAGAAAAAAATTTAATATGACTCCAACTTCATGTTAAGAAATGACTAGAATAATTTTACTTCATGTGGCTTTACGAAACTGACTGATTATCTAAAGCAATGTTCAATGTCATCGGTTCCCAATTGCGCAGATCGATGCTCATGCTGTTGATCACTGGAATGTCTGGTCCAGACTCCATTATTTACAGACCGCCGCCATAGAGCTGGAATATTGCTGAGTGCGGCGTAAAACTAAACTCACTCACTCATTGTTCATGTGGGGATACGTGTTAGGATATCTTAAATTACATATATCTTCTTAATGTCTACGGTAAGGCTGACATCTACTTAAACAGAGACTGTGTTGAGTGTTGTTATCACGTACATGCCCGACATTTCCTATTTTCTCTGTCTGCGTGTGTCACGGGACCGTTACGCAATGGTTTAAACAGTGCTACCCTTGTGGGCAAACTACGCTGGACAAACCAGCCAACAATGTTCAGTACCTGTTGTCAATTGTTTCCCCAGGTGAGATGTCTACACGAAGTAGTTCCCCTAATGACGACCTTCACCAATATACCCAGGAAAGCACCTCCGTCGGAGCTGTTGGTGCGATAGCTGCTGTATGAGGGGATGTTCCTGTCGTAGCTGCACACTATACACAAGAACCCCTAGACTATACTTTGTAAAGGTGGGACAAGATTGGTGCGTGCTAACCTCGATATCATGGATTAGATCATGTTTGTACTTTTTGTCTAGTTTCAATCATAAATATTGTCCACTGCATAAATGACTTCACATAACAATATTCCAGTATATATTTTCTTGTTTTTCTTTTTGTTTTGTTTTTTGTGTGTTTGCTTTGAGAATAATGTTCATTTTCATAATGTGGTTTTCTTATTCAAAGTTCACTCTTTAGCTTCGATTACCTTATGATGGCGTGACGTCATAATTGGAATGGCGGACACATATACAGTTATACTTACTCGTGCTTGTGCAAATCAATGCCTATTTCTAATACACATGGCACATTTATCGCCATTCTACCTACGTTAGTAGTAATTCCAGAACTTAAACAGTCAATGGTCCTATTTGCCATGTTTGTTTAAACCCATACAGACACGACGGAGGCCTAATAATAACCAGGTAAATATTCCCTCAAGGTAATTAGTCTAGTGTTATGATGAGCCAATTCCTAGGCCTTCCGTTGTTACTGTCCTCACATATATTTGCACATGCGCAGTACATGCACCAGATTCTCAGTGCCGCTTGTCTGGGATGGTCATCGTTAAAAATATTCCCTCGTTTTTTTGGCCATTTTTTCTTATGCCGTTTTTGATCTTGTATTGCAAGAGATTTCCCAGCGTCAAAGGTTGGACAAGTTTAAACAACGTGGCAGCAGATCATCTCCCTATGTGTGGGCTGCTTGCAAACTGTTGTCACATTAAACTTTATTGTACTTTTTCCCTCCGTCCCATGAAAAGTGTTATTGTAGCGAAGCCCGTAGTCGGTAAACACGCAACTCGGGATGAAACAAAGTGGAATTCCAAACATCGGCGCGCTCTAAAGCAGCAGTTGTCAAACACAGCATGTATAGCAAACACGAGCGTGTATCATTTCGCCTATTGTTTCACCTTAAACAAATAGCTCTCCACAGAAAGGGATGTGATCTCGTAGCGCCGTTTGCTCGGGTCCTCGGCTCAGCACTAACGGTATGTCAGCCATCTCTATCGCTAATAGGGACTTTCTGTGACAATGTCGACTTTTTATACCCCGGTTTTTAACGCGTGTGAAATTCAAATTTGAGATTTAACAAAATTTTAAAAATATGGAACTAGTGGAATTAGATCGGTTCAACGGTACTTCAATATTCAGCTGGTACCAGAAATGTTTGCCTTCATTGAACTCATTGTCAGTGCAAATATTTTCACTTTTAAGATGCCAATTATATATCATCTATTGAAACTTTAATCCGTTGTTACCTCTGACAATGAGCAATCTGAAAAGTCCACTATGGAAAAATGGAACTCTCTGCAAGCTGTTAGTTTGGCCACATCAGTAAACTTCTAACAAGTGAATTTCACAAGTTTTATTTCCCAGAGAAATTATATCAGAATTTTATTTTGTTCCAGAGACGGAGTGACAAAGACCATAAACCGAAAATCACAATGGCCTCCACAACGAGGACAAGCAATTCAAGGTATTTCGGGCAGTAAATCATACATCTCTCGTCATCTTTCAGTTGTCAAAACGCCGCCAGGATGAAAGAATAATCATCAAGATTGAATGGCATCCCTTGCATGATTAACAATGGCAATGCATTTTTAAAGCTGGAAGCTGTACGTGTGTATACAGCGGGAAGAATATGGTCTGTTCCCTGAGAATGTCACGACTACAGCCGTTGCCAAGGGTAGGCTTGGCTGGTACCGCTACCATATGCCAGTGAGTGGAGACTGGTTCCACTTGCCTATGGTACTGTCAACCGAGGAACCATTGATTACCATGGTGTCTCCTGGGATATTTCTAATTGATCTCCAATAGCAGTTTGGTGCGATCTACCACAACTTACTGCAGATCAATGGAATAAGAAAGTCCATTCATTTAGTCGTGGTTTCTCATATTGATGCATAAATGACCAAAGGATTTACAGATATCTGCCTTATTTCCATTTACACCGTTGCCTAGTAACTGATGAAATACATGTAGTTCTGAATAAAATATTTTGAAAATAGAGACATTTCGATGTTTTAAGTATGTATGTTTACACGTCCATTTGACAAATTAGACGTGAAACCCTATTTAGGAACCCGTCATATTATAGGAGAGGGTATGAGAGACTGTAAGAGTGTATTAGATAAAGCACAGGGGTGGTGTAAATCCAATGGAGTTATCTCCCTTAGTAACAAATGGCGTAAAGTAAAACCCGGTTACTGGTTGAAAAACAGCCACAAAAGCCAAAGTTCTAAGCACATAACGTTCCTGTAATAATCATTAACCACAACTCTTCTGTTTACACGCCCCGGTACTCTAAGGTAATACGCACGTACCCTGCATTAATCAGCAGAAATTGTTCATCCGACTTTGACATAAAACAGTAATTAAATTACGCCCTTTTGTTAGTACTTTCCCACGCAGGAGGTAGGTTTTGTTTAGAAGAATAGCTGCCGTTGCCATGCGCATGCAATCAACTTATCGATATACGTCAAGGTCCTTCCATGCCAGTTTAAATATTGAAAGAATTATTACTCCATCTTAGTGTATAAGTTACCTTTGAACATGGTCTACAGATTCTAATATTTATGGAAAACGGTTCTCGGGGATTTAGAAGACGTAGCTGAGACCTAAGCAGCGTAACTGACGTATTGTATTGTTTTTGGTTGAATTGAGCCGTTGACGGAACTTGGTTATAGAAACTAATGGACGTGGGGGTATTCATGGATTCTGTGAAGGACTGGTGAAAACAAAGAAACGCGCGTTAATAGCTGTTAGTTATTCAGAGGGTTGCAGTGTAAGTATAGTAGGTGTGGGAGAAGTGATCTCAACCATGTTATTCAAACATAGGGATCATTTTTCTGTGAAACTGATGTATCCAACGATGCTAAGATACTGACTAAACATTTACCCCTGTAACGCGGGGCGTTCTGTTCTGTTCCCAATTTGGATACTGTTTAACAGATTATTCACTCACAAAATGTGTAAGGTTAAATAAGATTGAATCGATATCAGAAACACACTAGTATCAAGGAAACCTCAATTTCAGGGAGGTAAAACGTCCACGTGATGTTACAGTTGACAGGGGGTGCAGTGGAATTGACATGCTTGTTCTGTAATATACTACTCGCAAGAAGTTAAGAAGGTCGGGATTTTCATATTATCTTAGTTGTTCTAATGACATAATAACTAGTATGTTCAACTTCTTTTAATTAGTGGGCGGTGGGGTAGCCTAATGGTTAAAGCGTTGGCTCGTCACGCCGAAGACCCGGGTTCGAATCCCCACATGGGCACAATGTGAGAGGCCCATTTCTGGTGTCCCCCGCCGTGATGTTGCTGGAATATTGCTAAAAGCGGCGTAAAACCAAACTCAGTCAGTCAGTCGTTTAATTAGTATAGGAATATACCATTAAGGCCTGTACGCTCGACTACATATAGAAATATTTCACAGACGTTGGTCTATTATACCGAATGTACGCCTTTCAACCATTTTTTATACGATGTTTATCACCAAGTGTGTATATGGTCATTGGGTAGCGTTATTGTGACGGCCAGTGCACGAAAGTGCTATTTTCAGTCTTCTTGGGGACATTGTCAGTCAAGAAAACAGTACCGGGTCCAAATAATTGAACAGACAACTCTTGACTGTAAAACAACAATTCGGAGCAATCAGCTTGGTCAATAATTCATCCAGATCGTCCATTAGCTTAAACAGACATGATTTGTGAAAGATAGCTTTCGTTTCATCTCAAAGGACAGGCTCATAAACAACATGGCGGCGTGGTGGATGAAAGCGTTACACGATCGGCACGTGCATATAGGACAGTGGTCGTTGAAGAACACATAATGGACGCCAATGAATGAGCGCACGTGGCAAAGTCGTAAATGTGATGGAGCAGGGGTGGTCAAAAACAAATCGGGCTCATCGTGAAGTGATGACCCCGGTATTTCAGATTCGCAGTCTTTTAACGAATTCTAATTTTGTTTTTTTCAGCTGTCTAATCTGATTTGCCATGAGTGGACGCCAATTAGGATGGACATCGTTAATTGACAAATGGTCAATTAAGATGGACATCCATCGTGTTCGAATCGCCTTATCTTTGACGAGGAAAGAACAAAGTACCCGATATGAGATTTATTGTATACCTTTAACCAACTTAAAACTGAATTAAGGCCACATAAAAATATTCTTGTTTCTAATTACTTTTCATTACTTTTTAAAAAAAAAATATGTCCCAAACCCTTTCATTTCTGTGCAAACTTATGCCTTTCTCCTCCGATAGAAAATCAAAACTTAGAAGTGTGAAAAATTCATGCACATTTTGAGAGTCAAAGTTGCATTTTCTCTCGTGTAAAAACTACAACTGACTGAGTTTGGTTTTACGCCGCTTTTAGCAATATTCCAGCAACATCACGGCGGGGGAAACCAGAAATGGGCTTCACACATTGTACCCATGTGGGGATTCGAACCCGGGTCTTCGGCGTGACGAGCCAACGCTTTAACCATTAGGCTACCCCACCGCCCCGTAAAAAACTACAAATATCTTCTGGTCGGGTCGAATGTTTGCGTCGGACGTGAAACAAGAATATTTTTATATAAGTCCAAGTATCGCTTGGTCAAGTGTTAAGACACGTGAAAATGAATTTACGTACAGTAATATCGATTTTAGAGACACCTAATATTGCGCTTATCAAAAGTGGCTTTACAAGTTGTACCTAGGCGGGGATCGAACCCAAGTTCAGGCGTCCACCACAATGTTGTCTATCCCACACACCCTTACCAGGCGGCGGGTGCGTCATACACGTTGTAGGGGAATCAATCACACAGAATAAGGGGACCTATTTTCCGTTAATCCTATCATTTCATGGGAAGCAAATATTTTGTTATCACATACAAGTCAAACCTCTTTTGATCGTTGTGCCCTCGTTGCCGCATTTATGACTGTTAATCCAGCGTGACTTCCCTTAATACATCACACATCATCCCTGAACACTACGCTGACTTAACCCCTCAGCCAGAAAAGCGACTTGAACAGTGAACTAGAACTACATAAAGCATCTATATATACACTATCTTCTCGGGGGATACAATGTTTCATCTAAATAGGCACCTACGTGTATGCATCAGAAAAAATGAAAGCCCTTATAGAAATTCACGTGGTCGTTGAGATCTACCTGTACCAATTATTCACTGTGGAAACGACAGGTGCTTCTGACGTACGCCTGAAGTGATGCGTTCGGAATAATACTGATAACGTTAAGTAACACTACAGAATACGTGTTCAGGTACGTTCCCACGCTGTGTTGGAAGGCTGCAGTCAGGCGTTCACTCTCTACTATGTGCTTCTCACTGTGGTTACACCCAATATAGAGTTAAACGAGGTGGAAATCGGGGACGGAACCGAAATGCATGTCTGTACACAAGTCCCGTTCTACAATCCGATAGCGGTGCTATGAGCGTCGTAAGTCGATGTTAAAGGTACAGAGTTATGACCTGCTTAACGCTCAGAATCCTGTGCGCAACGGGCGCTCTGACGTGGTAGGCTTTTACCAGGCGGATGAGTGAGCAAGTTTAGTTTTACGCCACACTCAGCAATATCTGTAAATAATGAAGTCTGGACCAGACAATCCAGTGATCAACAGCATGAGCATCGATCTACACAATTGGGATACGATGACATGTGTCAACCAAGTCAGGCAGCCTGTCCACCCGATCCCGTTAGTCGCCTCTAACGACAAGCATGGGTTACCGAAGACCGATTCTAATCCGGACCTTCACGGGTACCAGGCGTATGAACACTGGGTGGGTGTTGTTTAACACAACTGTCGAAAATGTAACAGTTCCAGCAGTCGCGGGACTGAATGTCATTGCACCAGGAGGGTGTTATGAACACACACCGAAGTGATTGTAATTCAACGTTATGTACATGGCCTTCATTGCGTGTTTAGAAGCATGAAATGCTATGCAAATACCTACCAGCCGACTACATGTAACCTGCTAGTAAGAGGAACTATACTAACAAAAAAACACCCGATTCTTTCATACTACAACCGTTAATCTGTCATGACACGACAGGCGTACTGTATAGCCTATTATGATACATTTATTTATAACAGTAAAAACATATCTAAGTAGACAGTAACAGAAACAACTAACACCACCTTGTGCGCCTAGAAGAGTGAGTGAGTTTAGTTTTACGCCGCTTTTAGCAATATTCCAGCAATATCACGACAGGGGACATGCCTCAGACCCGTGTTCGATTCCCCACATGGGTACAATGTGTGAATCCCATTTCTGGTGTCTCCTGTCGTAATATTGCTGGAACATTGCTGAAAGCGACGTAAAACTAAACTCACTCACTCATACGGTGACCACTATCTGGAGTATTGAAGTGAGTGAGTATGGTTTTATGCCATTCTTAGCAATATCACGGCGGGGGACACCAGAAATGGGATTCACACTTTGTACCCATGTGGGGAATCGAACCAGAGTCTTCGGCGTGACGAGCGAACGTTTTAACCAGTGGGCTACCCCACAGCCACGCGCCAAGAAGATACAAGCAGCGCATTTACAAGTTGCACATTGGTAGGGGTCGATCCCCACGTATAGGCGTCACAAGCAAACACTGTCATTTTATCTCACAGATCTGCACCATCGACGTTGTTGGTCGCCTCGAATCAACAACACAAGTTAAGGGTATCTATATTCCCTTTATCCCATCATTTCATGGGAAGCAAACATTTGGATATCACATACTTGACAAGTTTCTAATGTTAATTGCACCCTCGTTGCCGCATGTATGACTTTTAATCCAGCGTGACTTCCCTTAATACATCACACATCATCCCTGAACACTACGCTGACTTAACCCTCAGCCACAAAAGTGACTTTAACAGTGAACTGAAACTACATAACTACATAAAGCATCTATATATACACTATCTTCTCGAGTGATACAATGTTTCCTGTTAAGGGGCACCTTCGTACACGCATCACCAGAAATGAAAGCCTTTTATAGAAAGATTAGCTATAGCGAAAACTGAAAAGATTAAATTGATATCTAGCTGAAAGATTTAACTGCACTGTGTTAAAGTAGAGTGCAGCAGACCATAGCCAATATCTCTCGGTGTTCTCATGATTACTGCATACTATGTAAATCAACAGCCATTAAATCTCATACCGCATACCCAGTTTGTCCCTCAGTTCCCTATTTGCACCCTATACTACATACAGTAGCCTTGCTCCAAGGCTGTACTGGATGCTGAGCCCCTGGATGTATAGTAATTCTATGCTTTGAAGAGGCAAGTCTAGATAAGCGGACAGAAGCCAAGTCTGTTATTCATCATGTTTTTTTAGAAATTATCATTGAACTATTAATTTTTACCTTGGAGACTTGTGCAAGTCTATACATACAGTACCGCCGCTCCACAGTGTAGATTATAGTAAAACCTCTATTCCCTATATTACCCTGCATTATATACACTGGCTTTGGTTAAAGGACTAGATTGTAGTATATCCAGTGTGCCTCTATTTCGTATATTACCCTATACTACGTAAGTGCCCTTTGCTTATAGTATAGTCCAGTGTAGTGTAGTGTAGTGTAGTTTATATATAGACCTATTGCCCACACACATGGAACCTTTTTTTTAACAAAACGTTTAAGAAATGTATAGCTGTTCGAAAAATTTAATTTATCAAAATTCTATAAAACGTACGCTTTTCATAACTGCCATTTCACATCTGGTAAGAACTACCCGAGTTCCCGTGGATGACTTTCATCAATCCAACACCACTAATAGTCTTTTAGTAGGATACAATTCTTGGGAATCAAGCGAAGCGTGCCAAGTGGTGCCAGCCCTGGAACCATATATATATACCTTGAACCGCGCCAAATCTATTGCCGAGTCACAAATAGGACACAAGTACGTCTCTGATAACCGTTATGTCCTTTCATGCCTCTAGACCCGAGAAACACAAAAATTGTCATTATTTGGGAATGGTATTAAATAGTATAGAGCCAGCAAAGGTTTCTAATTCTTTCACAGATGACATCGATCAGAGGCTGGAGGGGAGGAACTTGCCAATTAGGAGTGCAAACATTTGGCGGAATTACTGTCTACACCGCCTTCATCACAACAGACGACTTGGGTGCTCTGTGTATTTTCATAGACATTGAATCAGGTGATAAAATGTCCCAGTTCGTTGATAGAGGCCGAGATTAACCATTAGACGAGGCTAAGTTTGGTCAAACACTTCCGCTATACTTGGGATGAACCTATCCAATTAGATGCATCTCCGCCTTTTGATTCGAGCATCCTGTAGTTTATACTGCTGTTGGCGGTTAGCATCGCCGTAATCAGACCTTTACCTCGTCAAAGAGGAGGCACACGTCCCATTCGCCCAAACAGAGGATGTGTTGTTAGGTTACGGTCAAGACGCTGACCAGGTCGACTGCTTAGTAAATATTTAAACTGACCATACAAAGAAAGGAAAACTCTGTTACTTCATTGTAAAACCGGGTTCAACGCAGAGGCCACTTAGGAAACAAACGGCTTAGGTGGGAAAGGTTGGATTTAGTAACTACATAAACAGCTTGTCCAGCTTTACTGATTTCTATCTTTTTATCATAAACCAGTTAACAGCTGCGATGATGCAAATACGGCAATGCTGATGGCTACAGGTCAATTAACCTGAGCACATAATAAAAAAAAATCACCAAAATTATACCTTATTAAAAAAAAATTAATAAAAAAAACACCTACTGCAATTTAATTTGTTGTATGTGTTAGCACGTTGGCGTCAGTTCAGTTGACTTTTTATGTTATTAAGCCATCCTAAAATAATCGATGGTTTCCCATTAATGTTTTATTAGGTGATAAATGGATTCAAGAAGGTAGAACTAAATTCCTCAATTATAAGAAGTGGATGGAGACAAAAAAAGGAAAATACTCACCAATTGATTAGGTTATCGATCAGTCTCCGAGCCCCGGAGGGGTCCTTCTGGCAGTGTATCCACTGAAACAGAGACAAGCAACCGTCAGATTTAAGGAAACAAGGCCGTATGTGTCCGGTTCACACTTATCAATCTCCTGTCCCTGAATAAACCTGTCCTCGTTCAGTCCCGCATGGTAATTGCTGTAGTTACCTGGCCTTCGACCAAATTGGAGGGGGACACCCTACAGTGAGCTTTCTTTCACATTCCACATCTGTCACAGAGAGTCAGTTAAACACAATGAAGAATACATCCAAACTATATACGCGATCCCAGGGTTGAAAACAGTTGATGGGCCAGACAATGGATGATAACGGGAAATAAGAAAGAACCCCGTTTTGAGCGTCAATCAGAGAAACGGTATATTCCCACGCCACCAGAGCTGTATGAAGAGAATGCTAACAGTACACCGAGATTTTCCTTCAAGTCGGGAGGGGGCGCTGCGCTCGCATCCGAAGCACAAGCAAGCGAGATTGGAGCCAGAGCGGCACAAACACGAGCGGAGGACACAAACGAGTTCTTTAAACATGGGAGCTTTGTCTACAATAGCTAATACTAATGGCATAAACAAAGCAGAGATCGTGTGCACCACTGTGTCCAACAAGCTACTTGTAGGTTCAAGTTTTATTTAACGCAATCAGATACTGAAATTTATCCTCCATAACAAATTCCTTGAGCTCCCTGGAGACAAGATCTGAATGGTATTGGCCGTCTCACAGTTTTCGTCTGCTCTCCTATCTGCTGGGCCTCGGGGATCACTCGCCGCACGCGACTTGAGCAACAGGATCTCCCAGAAAACTGTTTACCTGATAACAACACGCCACATATACCATCATTTTCCGATATCTGCGTGTCCCTTTGGGTGTCGTCTGCCCGACCGCCCACTGCAGCTTAGGACCGCCATCATGGCAGTAGTAAGATTAATAATTGATGTCCACAGAGAGAAGTCAACCTGATGCACAGCTTACTTCTAGACACCTATACGTGCAGAAGCACCCAGTGTAGGCAGAAGTCAACCACTACCAGCATGTTATTGAGCCAGACGCGCTAATCAGATACATTAAGCATTAAGATAACTAACTGGTTTTGCAAACGTTCTTCCTGTTAAACTCCGTGACGTAACCAAAAAATGTGTAGTGCATGGTATGAAATGGCACTGAATAAACATACTTTGCTATAACACTTACGACCCTGTTTGTCACAAAGGTCCAAAGGCAACAATTACAAAAAGGGTTTAGTGAACACAAAACCAAAAAATCACCAAAAAACAAATGAAATTGATTCAAAGTTACCAAGCATAAAGCAGTTTCAGTTTGATCACACTGAGAGAATTGCCACCTTTAAACAAGTCCAGTATTTTACCATTGTTAAACCCTGGAGTGCAGTATCCGGTCGGGCAGTAATTTCTACGGACAACCATCATGGCAAGAAAGCAGATGCTATATGTATACTAATCAAAACAAGTTAAACAGCAACCGGTGGAAGGTTGTGAGCTGAAATACCATGGCAGAATAACTTCAGTTATATGCAAAATTGGTGTTCTAACTTCTTGTGTTTGTAGTCATCCACCAGGAACACACTAAACGATCACATTAACAGCCTCAAACTTCTGTCTCCTGCCTTCTAAACATCAAATTGGACTTGGAGATAACAAGCGAACACGTATGTCATCCTTAAACCTGCGGCCAAAGGGCAGACAACTCCATGGGACAACACAGTTTGCAGTCACAATTCAACTACATTGATAATGTATCGAAAAATCTGTTACCAAAGTCGGCATTGACACCGACGGTTGACAGCTCTGCGGGTATCACAGTAAGAGGGCGACATTGAGGTCGTTTTTCGACTAACTGCTCGCATTGTGAGTCGATGATGCAGACAGATGTTGCCCGAAGACCACTGCTTAGGTGGTTATTGTTGCAACACGGAGTGAGCCATGCAAAACAACGCTCAATGTAGTTAGCACGCTATTTATTATCCTCGCAGTCACCGTGTTCTTCGTGGGTGTAGATCCCGGACATTTATCTGGTATCTTACTTGTATAATACTGTCCCAATGGTACACCTGTAGACGGAACCTTAGTGCTCAAAGCCATTGAATGGGGCAATGGCGGACAACCATTGTCCACTGACTGTCAATGCACTCAAGTGAATGAACAATGACGCTCCCTCCAATCGCTCCTAATCATACGGAGAGTCAAACCCTGCGTTGATCTCAGCTAAGACACATTAAACTATTGATTAAAGATGACAGGTAAGTCCATTTGCTAGAACAGTCCCAGCGCTGGCATTTAATTCAAGAAATAAAGTTTCTATTAGACTGGCATTTAATTCAAGAAATAAAGTTTCTATTAGACTGGCATTTAATTCAAGAAATAAAGTTTCTATTAGACTGGCATTTAATTCAAGAAATAAAGTTTCTACAAAATATTACATGACCTAATGGAGCCCAGAACGCTGGTTAATTTCAGAGTTTATCCAATCCAGACTAATTTTCTTATTTATGTTCTAGGGTCAAGGAGACGGACTAAGCACTCGTACGCGTGTGTAACGTTAAATAAGACTTTTGATATTAACCACGTTCCTTCAGTTGTCACAAAAAAATTAAACGGATTTTGAAAATCACATAAAACAATTTGCTGACAGAATTAATATATAGTTATTAACTGATATCAGTTCAACGAAAGTTTATTGACAATTCAAAATATAATATTAAGTCTTCTTGATCAGCGAGCAGTGTTGAAGCGAGGTAGCTGACTAGACCAATTTTCACTGTAATAGCGACGAGAGGTCATCTTCAGATTGCCTACCCACTGAACAACTCGTCAGTTCAGTTTGTTACAAGTCTTGATACCATGCATAACGCCAGCAACTGTCAGTGACGAGGCGACAAATAACGCTACATAAGGGAGTGGCTGCTTTGGGATTTAAATGCTGGATCACGGACTTTAACAAGAGTAGCCATTCCACACTCGAGTTAAATCATTACACAAGTTTGTGCAATTTACAAGTTAACGAACACTGTAACATAACCCTATGATACGTTCCGTGACCTTTACAAGTCACGCAGGGTCACGGCGGGAACGTGAGCCAGCATTCTACATGCGCGTAAGTCACGCTCAGTTCTCGCACGAAATCATGGATCAACGAGATTTTATTGCCTCGTGATTTCTTAAAGAGGGTTATTAATGATGCATTGTCTAGGGGGAAACTCTTCCAATCGAACGCTAGACCACCGCTGATATTCCTACTGAGGATTGACGTTTTCCACAAAAGATTCTTGCTGACGAATCAGCACGTGGGATTAGAGGTCAAAGGTGGCGCGTCACATGCAAGGATTTGGTACGCGGTGGTACTTGAAAATTAATGATTTAGCAGATAGATCGGAAGAACGTTGATCGCTATGTCTTTGAATGCAAGGTGAGGAGGGCAAACAATTCATTTGGAAATCATTACCAAAGAAAAAATTATGTGGTGAATTAGTTGCCTCTGAACAAAGAGACATGGCGACCTTTGACATTCACCTGTCCATTTAATAACAAAATAACTGATTATTAAATACCTGTTTCAAAATGTTCAAAACCTTTACACATTGCTGAACACGATACCCACACAACTACCATAGGACTTATGTTGAACAGTTTTTCGGTTATACCACGGCGTGTCTGCCTGATATGGGAGGAAAACCCGAAGCAACACTGGTCAACGTACACCAGGTTGATAAAACCATACGATGCAGTGCCGACAAACCAATGATCATAATCCAAAAGAATAAGATCTCAACACCAAGATCTACAGATCCTGGAACAGTAAAGACACAATTCATGTACAGTGGAATCTGTCTATTACGACTGGCCTGGGACCGACTCGTTTGTCCGGATTGTAAAGCAGTCCGGATTAGACAACTTTTGTTCGTTACCGTATACTCTTCATAAAAAGTAGGGGAACTTGATCTTTCAAATTTGGATAGGAAGTACAAGCGTTAACAAACTTTTCAAAGACAGACATCTCATGATTTCTCTTTATCACCACCCCTAAACAACACATGGGGTGCTCGTGCACAACGCATTAGCTCAAGACAGGGGTGTCATTCTTGATTTCGACGGTTTTCAAGAAGGTCGATAAACCACAATAGGCCATTAATTTTGACAATCATCTTGCATCACACAGTTGTTAGTGTTAGGGTTCGTTTCTAGTCGGGTTTGTTTTGTTGGAAAAATGGTACACATGCCAATTTCACGTCATACACCAATGATCTTTCACGAGCGATTACTGTACAAACAACTATGGTCATAAGGAACTGCAAGTGGCGATGCACTCTCAAAACATTATTATCAACATTGATTGACTCCGATATATCTCCCAATGTTTTCAATCGTAAATTAAAAATGAAGTTCCCCTACTTTTTTCAAAGAGTATAATGATAAGCATGTTATATTCAATAATACACGTATTACCTATGTCAAAACGAACAACCCTCCGCTTGTCTTGCACGTGTATGTAACACCAGTCGGACCGTTAAATCAGGAATGTCCCTCGTCTTCTTATCACTAAGGGCACATTCCCCCTCCCCAACGTGGTTCCTCACGGGGATAGTATTACATATCCTCATGTGACGGATACGTATTTTTGGAAGTGATGCAAAAATCCAAGTCGAAACCAAAACAAGACTGAAACAAATAAACTTACATTATAACTGACGCACTCGCTTTTTCACCATGGCAGAGCCATTTCGTATCTAAGCGATTATTATCATAATTGTTTTCTTCTTATTTGAAAGGCCATTGTAGAACACAAAGGGACAAGTCTGTAAGATTTATCGGTTCTTAGCGTGCAATATTTATGTGGTTTGTGTTTTATGGTTTTAAGTTTCAAAGGTAAAGACATAAAACCTATGAATATTTCAGCACCATATCGATAAAGGGAAAGAAAGAAAAAGAAAATTTGTTCAAATTCGATCCGTCATTTCAACATATATTTTTACTCTGATCATCGTCATGGAAGTTGATTACTAGATGTATGAG